GTGGTGGCGGTGGTGGTGGTGGTGGTGGTGGTGGCGGCGACGACGATGGTGGTGGTGACAGCAACGGCGGCAGTGTTGGAAGAGATAGTGGTGGGACAGTTTCAAACACTATTTTTTTTAAGTACTTATGAGAAATAATTCATTGAAGTATTGTAAAAAGTCACTCAAAACACATTTTTAGGGGTCTATTTTTTTTATTAAATTTAGAGTATTAATATTAATCGTTAGATTAACTTTAAAATAAAATTTGAAGAGATCTGAACCGCGAAAAGTAAAAGTCATTTTGTTTATCTTTTGAAATTTGAATTGTAAGCTACTTTATTATATAGATGGTCAAACTTTTGTCAAGGAAAAAAATTTATAGCCAAGGCCAAATTGAGACAAATATATTGTTCAAATTGACACTTGATTAAAAATATAATTTATTTAGTATATAACCATATGTGTATGACCGAGTGTAAGGAGCGATTGTCTTCAATATGACAATTTAATAAAAAAATAATAATTTTTGGTAATGATACTTTTCATTTGCATTTAGATTTTATTTTATTTTTGACGTTACACTTTTTATAAAATATTTTTTTTATGGATGGTTTAGGTTTTAATGGAATTAATATTTATGATCTACACCACTTTATTAAAATACATAAAATTAGAATAATCTTTGTGAAATCATTAATCACTTCATGTAAGAATTGGGCCTAGTTAAAATGTCCACCCTTGAGCTAATTCCTAGTTCTGTCCCCGATAAATAGGAGTGTCAATCGTGTAGAGTTAAACAGTTATGTGTCGGGTTAAACGGGTGACAGGTGAAAAACGTATAAATCCATACACGATATATTTAATAAACGGGTAAAAAATCTCAACACGAACACGACCCGTTTAATAAACAAGTAACACGACACGACTCGTTTAACCTGTTTAATTTTAAAAAAATTATATCAACAAATTTTAATACTCCATTTTTTTTACTACTAATTGCACTTACCTCAAAAAAGAGGAATTTTAAATCAAATCTCATAAAAAATAAGACTTGAAAGTTTAAAAAAAAAAAACAAGAGGCTATTGTCTTTTATAGACAACTCACCCTCCCCATCTCCCCTCATTTTCCAATGTGAGACAAAAATAAAAGACATTGATTTACTTTTGTCTTTCAAGTGCTCTACAACTGTTCTCCATTGTCTTTGAAAAATAAGACTTGAAGGCTTTAAAAATAAAATCAAGAGGTCATTATCTTTTATAGACAACTCAATCCTCCCCATCTCTCCTCATTTTCTAATGTGGGATAAAAACAAAAAACATTTGCCTTTACCTTTGAAGTGTTCTCCAACTTTTCTCCTTTGTCTTTGAACTACTATTTTACTTTTTTTTTATTGATTTCTTTATTTCTTTTTTCTTGCTAATTTTTTAAAATAATTATTAATTTATTATTATATTAATTTTATTTAAACGAATAAACGTGTGATAAACTGTTTGACAGGTCTCACCCGAACACGACCCGTTTATTAAACATGTTTAGAGTGTCAATCCGTTTATCACCCAAACCCGTTAAGATCTCATTTAAACCCGTTTAATTCGTGTCTATTAATCGTGTCGTGTCAAATTTTGACAGCCCTACTGATAATAGAGCATGATATGACTTGAGCAAATTTTTACGCAACACTATCTAATCATGACACAAAACCAACGCGACACTACTTGCGAAGACTTGCAAGTTTTTTTTTATCAAGAGCTTGTGGTAATTTATTGATCTGTTGCAGATTCAATCAACACACATCACAGTAGTTTTTTTTTTTACTAAACACATCACAGAAGTTTTTTTTTTTTTTGGCTGGTACATCACAGAAGTTTAGATATAGGAAAATAACGCTGGTTTCCTTACCGTCTTAGAAGCCTAATCATATTAGAAGTTTATATATTTCTCAATCACATTCCTTCTGTAATAAGGAAAGTACCATTCACCCAATACTATATATATATACAACCAGTCCCTCACACTAGACTTGACAATTTTAGACACGATTCGTGGAACCGGCATAAATCCGACATGAATTTAGCGGGTTTGGGTGTAGTCTTAACGGATTCGGGTGGTTAATGGGTTAACTCGGCAGACCTGTGAAATAAACGAATCGGTTTCGTGTTTAACCCATAAACTCGTTTCAACCCGTTTAATTCGTTAACAGTGGTACAATAAATTTTTAAAAACTAAGTAAGGTCTCTCAACCTCTGTCTCATCTCATATCTACCATATCTCATAATCATTTAAATTTAGTAGTCATTTAATATTTATTTTTTGTCTTCATTTTTTTGCTCAGTCATAATTTATTGTTATAGTAAACAGGTCAAACATGTATAACGTGTGACGAGTTAATGATTTTTTATATGGACTCGAAATTATTTAATTTATTCTCTTATTTAACGAGTGACACACGGGTTATATCAGGCAACCCGTTTAATAAACGAATAGTGTATGAGTGTGACAGTTAGACTCGTTTATATAAATGAATAGGGTATGAATGAAATTTATTTTAATATAAATCCGTTTTATCCCACACAAAATCGTTTCATTCGATACAATTGTCAAGTCTACCTCACACACTTCTATACAATCAACATTCCAACTCTCTTCAGAGTCCAAACCCTTCTTATTCCTTCCCAAGTTTTCTACTATTCTTTGTCGCAGTAATACCATACCATGGCGTCGAAGAAGAAGACTTGAGGTCGAAGAGGCTGTTGCTATACAGTCTCAGGCTCTCAAGCACATGATCGGGACGATTGTGCATCGACCACAATTCCACTTACCAACGTGGATAGCAAGACATTGGTGAAAGTGATCGAGTACTGCAAGAAACACGCCAATGAGACTATTACTAGTAAGGATCTCAAGAAGTTCAATTCTGAGTTTGTGGATGAAGATCAAGCAATTCTTTATAATGTTTTAATGGCTGCAAATTTTCTCAGGAATAAGGATTTATTAAATATTTTGTGTGAAAAAGTTGCAAACATGATTAAGGGTAAATCACCGGAGGAGATTCGCAAAACATTCAATATCGAGAATGATTTTAGCCCAGAGAAAGAGGAACAAATTCGTAAAGAGAATGCTTGGGCTTTCGAGTGATTTTTTAAAGTTCTTTTTTAGATTTTTAGATTTGGCAGGAGTTTTACTTAGAGATAGTGAGTTTAAGATGTTTTGAAGCAGAAGGGATATACCAAATAAGAAAAGGGTATATTATTTTGTGATAATAACATTACACACTGCAAAATTGTTTGCATATTTTGGCACTTTGCAGACCATGTGTTGTAGGGCTCCGTACTTGGGTAGCTACGCAAGAACAATGGGTGCGAGACATTTTTTTTTTTTTATTACGGTTAAGGGCATTCGTGTTAATTTACGAACACTTTGATTAATCTAATTTTCTATCCAATTAAAGATAAATCATCGCCGAGACAATGGAAAGCAAGACTTCACATAGTATAGAATGTATTCTTATGCGAGGTGAACCTTGAACAAATTATGGACAAATGAATTTGAAATTGTATAACAAAGCTAGAATTGAACTTCCCATTTACGTTTCGGTTCAATCGGGTTTGGGTCTTTTGGAATACTGTTCAAGTTAAAATTGAACTAATTCGGGTTGAATTTGAGTCAACATGACTTATTTGATTGAATCCAAATATATCAATTGGATCTTGGTCGATTCAATTTCATGACGAATGAGTAATAACATTTAGCATGCAAAAGCCGGCCAAAGCCCAAAAATTTTTCACTGTATCCCATATTCCTCCGGCCCTAACCAAATATCACTACAACAAAATCACGAATTACCGGAGTTTGCACACGCCGGGAAAAGGCAGCTAAACGCCTGTAAAATCCTTTCCTAGCTGTTAAAACAGCCACCTAAATCGGCGTCGAGAAATTTCTTGGCGTTTAAAAATGTATACCAGCACTCCTTTTGCCGGACTCTGGCAACCGGAAAATTACAGGCATTTAAGAAACGCCGAGAACATTATTTTTTTATGCATATATTCACATGGAATAGTGTATTTTTCTGCAAGAGAGAGGGAAAAAAAATTGTAAAAATTATTTGATAGATGAATGAAAGTGTAGGCCAATAGATTGCGATTCATGCGGATTTTGTCAATTAGACTCGGTCAAAATTATTAAAATCCTCAATTGATATTCAATTCGAACACTAGCGTAGCTAATCCTTAAAAGTTTGGGTTTAATTTTTGATTAAAATTGAAATTCGTTAGAACTTAGGTATCGAGTTATTGAATTTGAGTTGAACCAGAATTGACTAATTTATTTACACTCAAATTTATCAATTGACATAGGACATCGAAAACTCGAGATGCAAATGTATATCAATTTGACATCGAATGGGAAATGTAATTTATGCATACCAAAGGTTGCATAAGCATTAAGCAGCAGAACGAGGTAAAGGGGTAAAATTGCTAGACTAATCAAATACATAGATCAATAAGAATCCAACTATATAAGTCTCGAATACATTAAACACAACTTATACACAATACGTAACAAACATGACATGAACCAAGCTATACACGATTATAAATAGGTACAACATGGCTTGAGCAAATTTTTACGCAACACTATCTAAATATGACACAAACCCAACACAACACGACTTGTTACAACTTACGAGTATTACAAATGGAAATTGCAAGTGTTTTTTTTTTTTTTAATCAAGAGCTTGTAGCAATTAATTTATTGATCTGGTGCAGATTTAATCAACGCACATCACAGAAGTTTGGAAATAAGAACAGAACGTTGATTTCCTTACAGTCTTGGAAGCCTAATCATATTAGAAGTTTCAATCATATTCCTTCCGTAACAAGGAAAGTACCATTCACTCAACACTATATATATACTCCCTGTCTCTCAAACCCTGCTACACAATCAACATTCCAACTCTCTGGATACCCTTCTTATTTCTTCCCAAGTTTTCTACTATTCTTTGTCACTGTAATACCATTCCATGACGTCGGAGAAGAAGGTGACATTGAAGACTTCCGATGGAGTGCTCTCTGAGGTCGAGGAGGCTGTTGCTATACAGTCTCAAGCCCTCAAGCACATGATTGAGGACGATTGTGCATCAACCACGATTCCACTGACAAATGTGGATAGCAAGACATTGGTGAAAGTGATCGAATACTGCAAGAGACACGCTGATGAAACTATTACTAGTGAGGATCTCAAGAAGTTCGATTCTAAGTTTGTGGATGAAGATCAAACGGTTCTTTATGATCTTTTAATGGCTGCAAACTTTCTCGGGATTAAGGATTTATTGAATATTTTATGTGAAAAAGTTGCAAACATGATCAAGGGTAAGTCACCGGAGGAGATTCGCAAAATATTCAATATCAAGAACGACTTTACTCCTGAGGAAGAAGAAGAAATTCGCAAAAAGAATGCTTGGGCTTTCGAATGATTTATTGTTATTTTTAAAGTTATTTTTTAGAAGTTTAGATTTGGCAGGAGTTTTACATGGAGACAATGAGTTTATTTTAAGGTTCTTGAATTTTTGTTCTACTTTTTATTATAAAGTTTAATCACACTGCAAAATTGGTTACATATTTTCGCACTTTGCAGACTGTGTGTTGTGTATGGCTCCATACTTGGGTAGCTGCTCCAGAACAATGGGTGCGAGACTTTTTTTTTTTTTAATTTTTATATTAGAGTTTGGGGTGTTCAGACTAGTTTATATACATCTAAATCAATCCCCTCGCGAANCTAGAACAATGGGTGCGAGACCTTTTTTTTTTTAATTTTTATATTAAAGTTTGGGGTGTTCAGACTAGTTTATATACATCTAAATCAATCCCCTCGCGAAGGGAGACCCGAGACAATTTAGAGCCTAAAACGACAAATATAAGTGAGGCCTATTTACTTATTAATAANCCAGAACAATGGGTGCGAGACTTTTTTTTTTTTTAATTTTTATATTAGAGTTTGGGGTGTTCAGACTAGTTTATATACATCTAAATCAATCCCCTCGCGAAGGGAGACCCGAGACAATTTAGAGCCTAAAACGACAAATATAAGTGAGGCCTATTTACTTATTAATAATAATAAAAAAATCATCTAAAATGTGTTTTTTTCGTTTTTTGATATGTAAAAAGTACTACTTAAATTTTTATAATAAGGTTTGGTTAATATAATAAATAATCTATTAAATTTTTTTTATGAAATAGTCCATCTTAAATAGAATTTTATTAATTTTCTTATGTAGAAACAGTTATAAAACGTATCAATAATTTCGGTAAATAAAGAATGCATTTGAAAAATAAATTATCCTTTTTATATAATTTTGTATGTCAATTAGAGTATTTTCTTTCTTGTTTGTAAAAATTTTTGAAAAACATTTAACACTAAAAGCAAATNTCTTTTCGTTTTTTGATATGTAAAAAGTACTACTTAAATTTATATAATAAGGTTTGGTTAATATAATCAATAATCTATTAAATTTTTTTTTATGAAATAGTCCATCTTAAATAGAATTTTATTAATTTTGTTATGTAGAAACAGTTATAAAACGTATCAATAATTTCGGTAAATAAAGAATGCATTTTAAAAATAAATTATCCTTTTTATATAATTTTGTATGTCAATTAGACTATTTTCTTTCTTGTTTGTAAAAATTTTTGAAAAACATTTAACACTAAAAGCAAATGTAAACTGATGATGTACAAAATAGTTTTGTACATCACTTGTCAAGTATGAGTAATAAATGTAATAATTAAAATAGAGAGAGAATGCGAGATTTATAGTGGTTCAATCAATGTGACCTACGTCCACTTCTGAATGACTTGGGTCATCGGATACTTTATTAATTTAGGAGTGCTTGAAGTGCAGAGAGTACAAGCTTTGAGAGGGAGAGGAGAGAGTCGTGCTCAAGTGAGAGTGTGGTGATCTTGCCCCCCAAGTGCTGGTGGGGCTTTCAATTTATAGTTATCCCCTAACAGATTGGAGGGGCTTAATAGCAACTNGGGAGAGGAGAGAGTCGTGCTCAAGTGAGAGTGTGGTGATCTTGCCCCCCAAGTGCTGGTGGGGCTTTCAATTTATAGTTATCCCCTAACAGATTGGAGGGGCTTAATAGCAACTAAATAACTATTTTGGTGGAGTTGACGGCTTCTTCTCAACGAGCGAAGCGGTTGAGGTGCTCTTTATGAGACTCGATCAAAGGATGAGGTGAGAGTTGACTTTTTTCAAGGCGGCGAGGGGGAGGCTCCTGGTGACCTTTACTCCAATGTGGTAGAGGAGGCTCTTGGATGACTCTTGCATGCCCCTTACTAATGTAGCTCCTTGACCTTGGTGAGGTTATCCGGGTGTAGACTCCTTTGGGNCGGATACTTTATTAATTTAGGAGTGCTTGAAGTGCAGAGAGTACAAGCTTTGAGAGAGAGAGGAGAGAGTCGTGCTCAAGTGAGAGTGTGGTGATCTTGCCCCCCAAGTGCTGGTGGGGCTTACAATTTATAGTTATCCCCTAACAGATTGGAGGGGCTTAATAGCAACTAAATAACTATTTTGGTGGAGTTGACAGCTTCTTCTCAACGAGCGAAGCGGTTGAGGTGCTCTTTATGAAACTCGATCAAAGGATGAGGTGAGAGTTGACTTTTTCCAAGGCGGCGAGGGGGAGGCTCCTGGTGACCTTTACTCCAATGTGGTAGAGGAGGCTCTTGGATGACTCTTGCATGCCCCATACTAATGTAGCTCCTTGACCTTGGTGAGGTTATCCGGGTGTAGACTCCTTTGGGCTTGGCTAGCTGGACCTCTTAGAGTTGGGCCCTTGGGCTTATAACATGAGTTGAGCCCTTGAGTTTGACTCATCATTTGCCTCATAATGCCTTGTGTCTAATGGAACTTGGAAAGGAGGACATTCGACTAAGTTCAAATTTTCGACTGACTGATATAATTGGAAAACTTTGGGAGGCCAAAATATTTGCTTCCAAACTTTTTTTGGACTTTCTATAGCATCAGTCAAAGCCATAGACTGTGAATCTTGTTGGGCTCGCCGAGAGCTTCGATTTGGTATACTATAAACCTCATTTGAAATAACGAAGTAAAAGTTACGATTAAAACTTCAAGCAAAGAGCTAGGCGAGCAGTACTGTTCTGGGCGAGCAAGCAAATTTTTTTTTAAAAAAAAATTTCGGGAGGCCAAAACTTCTGCTTCTGGGCCTTTTTTGGACTTTTTACACAANGGCTGTGAATCTTGTTGGGCTCGCCGAGAGCTTCGATTTGGTATACTATAAACCTCATTTGGAATAACGGAGTAAAAGTTACGATTAAAACTTCAAGCAGAGAGCTAGGCGAGCAGTACTGTTCTGGGCGAGCAAGCAAATTTTTTTTTTTTTTTTAAATTTCGGGAGGCCAAAACTTCTGCTTCTGGGCCTTTTTTGGACTTTTTACACAATCAGTCACAACTTAAGGTTGTGAGTCTTATAAGGCTCGCCGAAAGTTTTGATTTGATATATAATATATCCCTATTTGGAGTTATGAAGCAAAAATTTACTATCAAAATAACAAGCAAGGGCGCTGGGCGCGCGATTTTTGGTGAGCAGCAGCTTCTGGGTGAGCTTGGGGCCACCTTGGGCGTCTTGGGATAGCCTGGGGCTGCCTTGGGCGAGCTGACCATGGAGGTGGGCGCGCCTTTTGAGGCCTTGGGCGAGCTGACCAAGGAGATAGGCGTTCATGTTGTGCTAGACAGGCAGTTAGGCGAGCTGAAGGAGGAAACCATCGTTGGGGCACGTAGAGGAGGCAACCTCTGGGCGCGCGGCTGGGGCTAGCACTGTGTAGGTAAGGCTAGCAGGCCAGGCGGGCAGAAGGGTTGTTGTGTCAATTCAGGCGTTGAGCGCCTATGCTACGAGTGAGTAAAAAGGGACAGTTAGGCGTACCTGCTGTGTTCAAGGCCCTAGGCGCCGCTGCTGTATGCGGGCATGCTGGTCAGGTAACCCAGTTGTTAGGTGCTGATGGAGTGGCGCTTGTGGTGTTGGGCCTTGCTGGAGAGGTGCCCAGGCGTCGATGCTGGATGACGAGACGAGTTATGCTTGACAGCGGAAGCTGGTGACTTTGCTGATCGTGATGGAACAACGCTGTTTGGGGATAAGCACAGGCAGGGGAATAGGTGTAGATCCTTAGTGTTGGAAGCGTAGACAAACCTTGTTTAGGCTAGGTGCTAAGTGTGGGAGTGCTGCAACAACAAGACAGCGATGCCGGATAGACACAAAATGATGAGGCCCGATTGTTGACATTTTATTTAATGTAGTCCCTCAAGTTGCAGATGGCCTGAGTTTCAAAAGTGTGCCTAGAGATGACAAAAATAATGTTATTTCAACATCAAAATATCTTAACATGATTACCTGGAGAGAGAGGCAGACTGCTTGCATGAGAGCAATGACAGAGTCTGAGGATTGCTCGTAAGAGAGCTACACCTTTTGAGACCGAGATTTTGGCGACCCATGAGAGAGTCCTTAAGCTTGAGGTATAGGCTACCTGTTTGAGAACAATGCAGTGACCACAGTTTTGGGGGCTCGCGAGAGAACCGCTAAGTTGGATATATAAGTTGCTTGTTTGAGAATAGTGTAGATGTCAAGCTTTTGGCGACCTACAAGAGAGCCGTTAAGCTAGATATATAGGCTGCCTGTTTGAGAACAGTGTAGAGGCCAAGCTTTTGGCGACTTACGAGAAAGCCACTAAGCTGGATATATAGGTTGTCTGTTTGAGAATAGTGTAGATGCCAAGCTTTTGACGATCCGCAAGAGAGCTGTTAAGCTGGATATATAGGCTGCCTGTTTGAAAACAGTGCAAAGACTAAGCTTTTGGCGACCCGCGAAAGAGCCACTAAATTAGATATATAGGCTGCTTATTTGAGAACAGTGCAGAGGCTAAGCTTTTGGCGACCTGCGAAAGAATCGCTCAATTGAAGATAGGTTGCCTACTTGAGAGCAGTGCAGAAGCTAAGCTTTTGGTGACCCGCTATGGAGCAGCTTAGCTGCAGATAGGTCATCTACTTGAGAGGAGAGGCAAATTTTGAGGGTTAGCCTGATGGGAGGATCACCAAGCTGGAGGCTCATTCCAATAGATGGAGATGAGGAGAGCGCCGAGCAACTGGGCGCCTCAGAAGCTAGGAGCCTAAGAGACACTGGGCGCCTGAGAGGTGCTAGGCTCCTAGTCGCTAAGGACTAGGCGCCTAGCGCTGAGGGCAAGGTGCTTGGCGCCTGAGGTGCTAGGCGCCTGGATGTTGAGTGCTTGGGTAGGAGCACTAATGGCCTTTGGCTTTGAGTCTTCTTGACAATTTTTCTCCTCAAGCGGTGTGAGCTCAGTCACAAAATTACTTAATGTCTGTGCCTTTGTGGTTTTTTTTTTTTTTTTAGAGTTGGGCGCAGGTGGTGATGATGACTGTGAGGACTCACCTCGCCTGGATTTGGTAACATCCTTGCCATTTATGTATTTTTGAGCTTTTGACCATAATTCTAGCATGATCTTTGGTGGGTGATTCATCATTGAACAGAGGAAGTTTGATGAACGAAGTCCTCCTAAGAAGGCGATTATGGTGACTTTATCATCGGGCTTCTTAATATGGAGGACCTCCTCGTTAAAACAAGTGAGGTAACTCCTCAGGTTTTCCGCTCGATCCTGCTTTATGCTGAGCAAGTGGGTGACAGGTTTCTGCTGGCAGCGTCCACCAATGAACTGTACCACAAAAGATCTTCTCAGTTCGGCGAAGGAGTCTATGGAGGAGGGGGTGAGTTTGGTGAACCATTGTCACGCTGATCCCTGTAATGTAGTTAGGAACGCCCTACACATGATCTCATTGGAGACATTGTGCAGCTGCATTAAAGTCTTNCGCTGATCCCTTTAATGTAGTTAGGAACGCCCTACACATGATCTCATTGGAGACATTGTGCAGCTGCATTAAACTCTTGTAAGTCTCGAGGTGATCAAGTGGATCCTTTGTACCGTCAAAGGTTTCAATGAATGGCATCTTAAATTTATGAGGGAGTGGGTTGTTTGCCACGTTAGGTTTGAAAGGCGTGTCCGTTCACTACCTCGTATCCCTACGCCTTTATAGCGTTGAAGACGTCACCCAGTTGATTTTGCACTTCTTTAATTTTTTCGTCCCAGTGGTTGGGACTCCTTTGGAATTGTATGGAAATAGCTCCCGTGCTCCACGCTTTAATTCTTTCTTTTATCCTTTTGGAAATGAGGGTCTCCACCGTGGGAAAGGGGAGTTGGAGAAAGAGGCAGAACTGGCTCATAGTTATGAGGAGGAGCTCCCTTGTGTGGGGCGCCCAAAGGGGCTCCTAGGGGTGGGGCTCCAAGCACCCATGTGGGAAGCTCCTTGACACCCAGGGCATGGAGCTCCTCTAACTTGGGTCCAGGTTGTGCTCCTCTTTGCCTAGTGAGCATCAGTTGCAAGATCTGTTGGTTCTTGACCCACAAAATGATTTTGCACACCACTTGTCAAGTATGAGTAATAAATGCAGTAATTAAAGTAGAGAGAGAAGGCGAGATTTATAGTGGTTCGGTCAATATGACTGACGTCCACTACTGAATGGCTAGGGTCACCGGGTAATTTATTAATTTAGGAGTGCTTGGAAAGCAGAGAATACAAGCTTTGAAAGGGAGAGGAGAGAGTCGTGCTCAAGAGAGAGTGTGGTGATCTTGCCCCCCAAGTATTGGTGGGGTTTACAATTTATAGTCGCCCCCTAATAGATTGGGCGACTTAACAGCAACTAAATAACTATTCTGGTGGAGCTGGCGGTTTCTTCTCAACGGCGCGAGGCGGTTGAGGTTCTCTCCATAAGACTCAGTTAAAGAATGAGGTAAAGATTGACTCTTTCTAAGGCGGCGAGAGGGAGGCTCCTGGTGACCCTTACTCCAAGGTGGTAGAGGAGGCCCTTGATGACCCTTACTCCAAGGTGGTAGAGGAGACTCTTGATGACCCTTACGCCAAGGTGGTATAGGGGGCTCTTAGATGACCTTTGTATATCCCCTGCTGATGTAGCTCCTTGACCTTGGTGAGCTTGTCCGGATGCAGACTCTTTTGGTCTTGGCTAACTGGACTTCTTAGAGTTGGGCTGTTGAGCTTGGCTCATCATAAACCATCAAAATTGGATAATCAACCTCCCACAAAATTGGTGATTTTGTTCTTACAAAAGTAAGAGGTTGTTTTTTTTTTATAGTGTTAGATATGTAAAGAAGAGTATTTAATGTAAGGGTGGAGCTATTTCTACCTAAAAATTTTCATTCCCACCCCATTAAACTATAATTCATCAAACTATTAAGTTCACACGATTTATACCCATCCTACTAATAAATAAGTCTACCGCATTCTATATCGACTCCTATTAATAAATAAATTTATTTCAATATTTCCTTTTAAGATTTCTTTCTATACATCATCTCACACATTTTTATACAAAAGTTGTAAAGCTGTCGATGGGTAGTCAACCCGAACACGAATGCAATTTGAACTAAAGATGATAGTGGACTGGATAAAAATGGGTATTCGTTCAAATCAGTTTCGTTTGGACCGGGGTGGATGTAGACGCAAATAACCGTATAAACTCGTGTGGGGATAAAAGTGGAGATAGACTGACACTTACCCCCGCCCCGCCTCTCCCCGCCCCACTTTACCTGTTATTATTATTATTTTATATATATACATGCTGCTGTGAATACAAATCTATATCTTATTGAATGATTTATTCTTTTGAAAATTGTTTTGTTTTTTAATTTTTTTTCATGGTTTTGACTTGTAAAAATGTAGATATTTGTGTTTTTATATTTTTTAATGTTGGATTATGCTATATTACATTATGTTGTGTTGCATGATATTGTGTTGGATTTGTAAGGGAGATAAATTTTTAATTATATTATATTACATTATGTTGTAGGCAATGTTTTAATTATATTATGTTACAAATAACAAACTTTTAATTATGTTATAATATTCTATAATGAGTAATGTTATTGGGACTTAAATTTTTGACCTAAAATACTGACCTAATGACGTGGCAAATGATGTGGATTTGCCACATCCGCAACTTCTCCAGCTACACAATTTTTTAGCATATTCCCGTAGAACTCTCTCACATCCAATTCCACAGGCAACCAAAAAAGAATCAAAAGCCATCACTTTTCCTATTCCCATGGGCGAAGATCTGCCTTTCCTTTACCATCACACCTCACATTTTACTTCTCATTTCGATCTCGAATTTTCATTTTCCCTCTTTCTTTTTCTTTTCCTCTGTTTTATCAAAATCTGTCACTCTTACCCATTTGGGATCACCTATTAAACCCCTCCCCTCCCCTTCTTTTTTAGTTTTCGTCTCTGTTCACCTCTATTTTATCGACACTTAATTATTGAATCTGAGGAGGAACAAGAAATTGACGTTTGATTGAATTAAGATGGTTTTTTCTTGAATCCAAAAGAGTTATTGGGTTTCAATTGCCTTATTCATTCTCAGGAAGAAAGCTGAAAGATTTTGAGAAGAAGAGGTGGGTCGTGAAATGGGGTTTCCTTGAATTTGAAGAGGGTTTAATGGGTTTCGTTTGCCCTCATTCATTATGAGGAAAAAATTTGAATCATTGATCTTGAATAGTTTTTCCTTAAATCGGAGCAGAGTTATTGGGTTTCAATTGTACTTATTTAGTCTGAGGTGGGCGATGGCAGTGCCATGGAGTACAACATTTTGGCTGGTAAATATGGTGTGGGGTATGAGTGTTGTTGTCATTTGGCTTCCTTGTACATGCTTGTATTGGAATACTTTGCAACTGGACTTCATCTACAAGTTTTTTGATGAATTACCTCAAACAATGTTGTTTTGAATTTCTTAGGTTTTGGTTAAGGAAAAGAGAGTCGATGCCGCATTTTGTCTAGTCTTGGGACTAGTTGTTATTGGAGTGGGGTATGAGTGTTGTTGTTAATTGGATTGCTGGAGTGAAATTGTAGTAGTTGGTGAAACCTTTACCGTAGAAGTGGTTTCAAAATTGTATACATTTTTCATGTAAACACATTTAGTTTTATTTATGCAAAAATAATGAAAGGGAAATGATTACTTTTGCCCTTTGATGAATGTGCTGGCAATCTACAAGGTTTAGGAATTTTTCATTTTGCTTTGCACATTTATTAAATCTATGTGAGTTAAAGAGTTTGAATTCCAGCAAGGTTGCACACATATGTGCTGCCATGAAAATCCTGTGTGATGCCATAGACTTAAAATCCTGCATCCAATACAATCTGGAGAGACGGCTGGCCACAAAGCAAACAATTACACTCAAGTAAACTCTTTTTTTTCTAGTTCATTTTTTGATGAAGGAGAGGCAATAGAGATAATGAGACAGTTGAGTGCAAATAAGTCCATCTAAGCAAAAAACCAGCGTGATTATCCAAAAATTCAAAAGAAACCAGCTTACTTTGGAGTCCATTGAAGATAAAACCTGCTAAAGCAACTCAAATAAGAGTCCAACTCAAATAATAAGAAACCAGCTGCAGCATATTTAGAACATTAACGTGAATCAGTGCATTGGACAACTTTAGACATTACTTAACTCCAAAAAAAAAAAAATACAGCAGCACATGGACCAGCTAAATGACGTGAAAAGACTGTTTAAAGCAGAAAATCCAGCTGAACAATACCCTACAGCTGAAAATCCAGCTGAACAGTACTGTGAATAGTGCCTGTATAATTGCTCTGGCTGATTCTGAATGCAGCTAAAAGCCTGCTACAAGAAAGCCTTATGCATGGCAAGTGGGGGATATGTTGGTACTACACATGAATAGATTGTCGACAAGATAAGACTCCAAGATGGAGATAAGTTTGCAAATTTAAACTGTCTACACAACCATATCATTGAGCAATATAAACTAGATATTATCATTACAAAACATTGCAGTTTCACTAAAAAACAAAACAAACTAATAACAATTTCACAAAAAAAGCCAAAAGCACAACAATCTTCATTTTTAAAAAGATATTGTTGTTAATTTTTTTTATTTTCTTGCTCTGATTTTATCCAGCACACTGGAAAGTGTTAATCGCCCTGCAATTTCTCTACCCAGTGCACCATTTCCAACCCTGGTAGCAGTTGTGCCCCTCCAGCAAAAGTTGTAGTATTTCCAACACCAATCCCTACATTACTTGTGCCCCTCCCAACAACTTGGCTTCTTTTTTCACCCCAACAACTCGGCATCTTTTCCCACCATATGTCAACTACACCTTCATCCTTCAAGACCTGCCAAAGAAAAAAGAAATAGTCAAGTAAGCAAATAAAATCATGGCATTTCATTTGCAAGTCATTTTTCTAACTCACCAAATTTATTTGTCATTAGACATTGGTGATGAAGATGTAGTTGGTAGTTCTTGAATATTTACTGGATCTTTGGAGCTAGAACTAGGCATCGTGTCCACAACATATCCACCATTCCAACCTTAATATTGGTTATGCTAAATAAGCGGGAAAAAAAAGACCATTAACTACACATTATGTTATAGCATGAGAATAACTTCGGATTCTATGGTAGATTGCTTACCATGAAATGGTTTTCATCGAAAGCATGATTTGCTATGTTTTCTATCCCATGTGCTTGGTTTGGATGACCTCTCTGAGTGACACCCCACAATAAGGCCAAATTATTTTGTCATAAATAATATACACCAACTTAATAAATAACTTAACACACGAAATCAATAGAACAATAACAAAAGTCATTTTCATTAACTCACGTTACAAAAGTGCAATATAGGGTACTGACTAGCACTCATACCGACATTAGTAACTTGTGTACTTTGCGAATCCTATATTTGTTTAAGGCTATATATTAGGACCAGTAGTTACAATAACAATTAGTTTGAAGTATGAACACAACCAATATTTTAAAAACCAACTAGCTTGTACCGTGATAATAACACTCTCTTGTGTTCCACTTGTATCAACAACTTCTCTATTGGGTGGACCAATAACAGAACTAACGACATCACTTCCAACCACTGGGGAATCCTGCAAGACATAAAGAATAATTAGGAAATATTGTAACCATAAATTTATTACTTCACATACACAAATTATAAGGATTTTATTCAAACCTTCATGCCTTTTTCTTCAAGGTTATGATTTTCAGATGGTAAGGTCCTCCTTTTCTTTTCTTTTATTTTTTTTCTAACAACGTGCTCCATTTTAGATTGCTTCCTTTTAAATGGTGGGCGACCTTTGCTTCGAACTGCTAATGGAGTAAGTATCTTCTGACTCTCCTTTGATATATCATTAGTATCACAACTAGTGTTTTTACGGACAGTTGAGTTGGGAATTGGTTGATAACTTCCATCGCCACCATTTTTTTGTAGATTCACCTTCAAATCATGTATCCAGTCCATCACTTCCATGCACTTATCTTCAGATATTTTTGCTAGGTCTGCAACCTCACTAAGTGCATTGCACATTTTATCATATCGCAATGCTTCTGGCGTGGTACTCCAACTATCATAACTAATTTTGACTTTTGTGTGGCATCTCTTCACATCCTTTCTCCATCGTCGTAAGATGTATTTATCAGGAATTGAGTAAATCTTCTTACAAATTAACATTGCGATTGCATGCCTGCATAATATTCCCCTAAACTCAAACATGCAAAAATTGTACTTCACCTCACACCTCACAGTCCTTTTCATGGAACCAAACCTTGAAATTTGCACTCTTTTTTCTCTCTTCAATCATTAAATCCTCAGTTACTTCATACTTTGAAGTCACACCATCAATTTTAGTTGAAGTTAAATCACAATACATCTTTCCTATCAATTCATTTTGGAACTCTTTAAACTTTGAAATAGTATAAACACTTTGAACTTGTTGCACCATATCATAATGACTTACACACGGGACTTGTGAAGAGGAAGACTTATAGTCTTCATGGGTCTCCTTTTCCACCTTACTTTTCAATCATACTGTTCCACAAATTGTTTGAAGGTAGTCTTAGAGTTGACATACCCATTAAAGAACGAATTCATGCTTTCACTTCTTTGTATAGTTGACATTCCCGCCCAAAAATTATCTTTCACAAATACTGGTGTCCAACGATGTCTCTCATTGTACAATCCACTCAACCAATCATTGCTATGTAGTTTATACTTCTCAATCATCTCCTTCCAACTTTCTTCAAATTCAGTACAAGTCAATGTATCATAAACAACCCTTTGCAAAGAAAATTTGATTGATTCGTACAACTTATAACCTCTTAACTTTTCTGGAAATTTCTTCATTATGTGCCATAAGCACCATCGATGTCTAGCATTAGGGAAGACGTTCTCAACTGCTTTTTGCATTGCTTTGTCTTGGTCAGTGATTATGACACTTGAAGCATTCCAAGACATGCATGCAAGCCAGGAGTGAAATAACCAAGTAAACGTCTCTGTATCCTCACTGGAGATTAAACTACATCCAAGCAACGTTGATTGCCCATGATGGTTAACACCTACGAATGGAGTAAATGGCATGTCATACTTATTTGTTAAGTACATTGTGTCAAATGTTATAACATCACCAAATTCCTCATACGCTGCTCTGCTCCTTGCATCCGCTCAAAATACATTCCTTAATCGTCCATCTTCATCCAAATCCATTGCATAAAAGAAATTTGCATTATCAGCTTGCATCTTCAAGAAGTAGTTTTGGATTACCACAACATCTCTTTCTCCGAGTCACAATCGCCTTACTTTCTCAATAAAATTTTTACAATCCTTTTCTAAAAATGGCATATTCTCATGTCCACCCGCTTCAACCACAAAAGAGTTGAAATTTTTATTTATTCTAATCTTAGCCTTGTCATTCAACTCAAGCCTTCATTTTACATGTGGCTTCATTACTCTATTGCATCGAAAAAAGCGAGTTTTGCTTGGACTTATCTCACGGTTGTGATCAAGCATGACAGTGCTCAATCGCCACTCTCCCTCGGGGCATAAAACTACTAGGACTTTAGTCTTACAATCTGTTTTTATTCTTGGATGTGGCTTGAGAGGATTTTTCGTAGTGCGTTGTAATTTTCTTGATCGAGAACAAGCAACCGATATATATTTCAACTGTCCGTCATCTGATTTTGTTGATGATCTCCTCTTAACTGGGAATGCCAACCGCTTCCCATAAGTTGTGTAATAATCAAACAAATCTTCATAGCTATCAAACACCATTCCAACATTGGGCTCTTCCACTTCGTCGTCCATATTTACTACATTATTCATTTCAATCCCATCATTTTCTTGATTCGTTTGTATAGTACTTGAAGATTCCCTTTCCATCCTATCAAACACCAATAAAGCTGAACCCAAAAAAAAAATAAAATGGAACATGTCATTGCTTTAAAGTGACCAGCAAAAGAAGAGGAAAAAAAAATATTGGTTTAATTAACAATAAGGTTACAACAAAATTATAATGATGATGATACAACTAATAATAGTACAAGACCAAAAAAGTTTGCTATTTCACATTTATTCATGCCTCCACGAAAAAAAAAAAACTTGACTGCATACATAGCTTCAATTGAAAGGAAAAAAGAAAACCATCCAATCACGACATTTTGTACATTTATGTGCATTTTTTGGACTGAGTTCTAGTATTTTATGACGTGGCGAATGACGGGTTTTATCCTATTGCACTAGAACTTAGTCCAAAAAATGATGTGCTATACACCAGGGCACCGATGGTGTCTACTATTGGAGGCTGCATACTTCAATTGGTAAGCTTTTTTTCCACTTGCATTGCGTTGGTGGCCTTTGTTTTACTATCTAGGGACCATAAGTACCACAAGGTAGACCTTGTCATCACTTAGCCTTCAAATTGTTTCACACAGAAATTTTGTCGAGTAGTTTGAAAACCATTTTTATCTTACCTCTGCAAGAATAATATAGAGAGCCCAATAAATAAATAAACGAGGGGGAGGGAAAGAGAGAGTGAGAGAGATACTGGTGCAAGATATTACTCGAAAATTTGTGGAGCAATTTGTTGACCAACACAAGCCAGTGTTTATTGGGTTCCCGACAACGACAACAATGATGTAGAGAGAGGGGGGAGAGATGATTAATGTTCACCATTGAGTGTGATTTCGCCAGAAGAGAGATGCAGACGGAAGAGACAAACTTGCTGGAGAAGTTACAGACGGAAGATGAAAAGTTACAGGCGAAAAGGACGTGGGAGAATTTTGCGGAAAAATGCTAAAAAATTATCTAGCTGGAGAAGTTGTTGATGTGGCAAATCCACATCATCCACCACGTCATTAGGTCAGGAATTTATGTCTCAATAGTATTATTCTTCTATAATTATGTTGGATTATTTAGAATGTTAGATTTATTTAGAATTTTAAATTATGTTGGCTTGGGCTTGAGCAGGTAAGGTGAACGGGCGTGGGGGCAGAGGTGAATGTGGGGGACAGGGTGGGGGATGAAAATTACAAATTTACCTGCGGACGGGGATGAGGATGAAAAATATACTCGTTAACGAGATCAGCTAGAGATAGACAAAGTTTTTTTAAGCGTGTACAGAAATGGAGACTATACCCCCCGCCCCCACTTCGGTCCATTAACATCCCTAATCTAAGCCCACCATCTACTTAAGTTTTAGTCATGTTCAAAATTTTGAAGTCGCATAACAAAATTAGAATGGAACTTCTGATTTAACTTTCGATTGAATCGCGTCAGGTCTTGAGGCATACTGTTCAAGTTAAAATTTGGACTAGTTCAGGTTGAATTCAAATAAACATGATTGATTTGATTGAATCCAAATTTATCAATTTAGATTGGATCTCGGCAAATTAAATTTAATGACAAATGAGTAATAAAATTTAGCATGCGAAAGCTTGCTCAAACCCTAAATTTTTTCACTATATCTTGCATTCTTTTGGGCCCCACCAAACATCGCTACAAGAAAATCACAAATTATCAGAGTTAGCAAATGTCAGGAAAAGGCAGCAAAACATCGGGAAAAGCCTTTCCTGACATTTAAAACAGCCATCGCCAGAAAATCTCCCGGCATTTTCTCAAATGCCAAAAAATATACACCAACGTTTTTTTCGACAAAAAATAGACATCGACTCTTTTGGCCAAACTCTGGCGACCGAAAAATTACAAGCGCTTAAGAAACGCCGGGAATATTATTTTCTGCTTCTATCAAAAAAATATTTTTTTTGAACTGGGCATAAAACCTGCGCATTCCACCCATCCATCCATCACATATTCAATTCAATAGTAAAGCATAAAAAATCCAACTAACATCAAATCAAAAAATGACAACTTTTACCTACTAAAATTGGAGTTCCTATAAAAAAATGTCCAACCCAAGTTAAAAAATACAAATAAAAAATGAATTAAATGAGACAATTGAGCAAACATTCAAGTATTATTGACCCAGTGAAACAAAGAAACACAAAAAACATTACGATTCTAAGTGTATAGAACAAAAGTATTTTGAATCCACAAAAAAAGTAACAAGAGAATAACTCTGAAAAAAAAAAGATATATTATTCAATAACTGAATAAAATCGTAGTATACATCACAATTTATAGGAAAAATCCAAAACCCTAATCTCCAAAAAAGAAACAAATCTCTAACTTTAAGAAAGTTACCTAAAACAATAAACCATATGTCTAATAAATTAGGAAAATATACATGATTTAGACATCAAATAACTCTAAAATATTCCTAATTAAAATCTTATTCCAACTAAAAAAAGTAAAAATAAAAATAAAAATATAGAAATTAGTATTTCTTGTTCTTCATCAAACCCTCTCTCTTAAAAAAACTCATCCTTGAGTTTTCATTACTTTCACAAATTTGTTGTGCCTGCACTTGTCTGAATTCGCCTTGTATTTGAGATTGTGATATTTTCTAGCCTTACACTTATCTCATATAATACTTTGTTTAAATGGTTTATTAAATGATGATATAACCATTAGAATTACCAAAGAACCCTCAAGTGAACCTAATTTATACCCATCTCAAGGATAAAAGTGTATTTTATTCAATAGTACTCAAACCCGAATTTCTTAACCCACCAAATATGGGTTTAATTTAGAAGGTGTATGTGGGAATATAACTATTGTTCATGGGGGCCTTAGACTATTTTTATGGGATAGTATCGGATTCAAATTGTATATACAAATCAAGGTGTGTAAGACTTTTTAATCTTACACAAGGTGTGATCAATCCCTCCTCTTATTTAAATTGAATTGCAATTACAATTGTTTTCCATCTTTTTTTTAGTTGGTATCACAATTCAAGGGGCTTGAAAATATTTTCCTTCAATATCCATGAAAAACATTTGTACTAATTTCTTATACCGAATAATGTAGCACAATCATAATGATTAGATGTTTTGTGGGAGCGAGAGGAACCTGCTAATCTGGAAATTCAAATCGATTTAGTAAAAAAAATTAAAAGAAAATTTGGAGTGTGTGGCATTGTAGTTTTTAAAAATGAGGGACATACCAAGTAAGAAAATGTTTATATTATTTTGTGATAATTCAGAAAATATTTTTAACAAAGTATGGAAAAATACGAGAAGACCAATTGTCACGTTGACAAAAAGCCGAAACAATAATATCATTACAAGGCAAAATTGGATATACACCAGACCTATTTCTCCAAAAAAAAAAAATGTTAATAATATTAGGTCTATCAATTCTAGAAAACAATATGCGAATCTAATACAAAATTGACACATAATTAATGAGTTTGAGTTTAGTTTTAGTAGAGTTTGGTGGTAAAGTGGTAAGTCTGTTAGATCTGTTAAATAAATGAATTGGTGCAAATTTGATTAAATACGACATGAACCCGTTAAAAACATCTTATTCACAATATGTAGCCAATACACCAAACAATTATTCCAGAGGTTTACTAGAAAATCAAAAAATAAGCGATTGTATCAAGAATTATATACAAAAAAAATAGTAAAATATCCNTGAACCTGGACGACGTAACGTTGGCACCCACACTCGACACCGGCACCGCGGAAGCGAATTTGGACTTAGAAGAAGAGAGTACCGAGGGGCAAACAGCGGCGACGCCGCAGCTCATCAGTGGATTTGAGGCCATGGTCTTAATCAAAGGTGTTTGTGAAAATGCCGGAGTGAAGCTGTGTGGGATGGAATGGCAAGGACGACGGGTTGAAGTATATGCAAGTGTGGGATATAGGGGAATCCAAATATTGATTTTTATTGGCTGAGGATATGAGATTCTGTCATTTTATTGGGCCACGTGTCACCTGTCAATCCATTTAGTTGTCTACGTGGAATAATGAGTGGACACACCATCTATTATTGATTTTCTTTTTGTGTGGTGGAGGTTGGACGTGAACAGAAAATATCAAAGAGATGTTGAAGGGTTTATAAATTTGTGTCTTGACCCATTGACATTTGGCTAACTCTCTATTTACCCTTCTATATTTAATGCTATGAAATCATAATTATGTCAAATTCATTATCTTGCCCCCATAGTTTTTAGTAATTCATTTGGTGGTATTAATAATTTATTTTTCAGTAAGTTATTGATCCACTCTTTCATCAACCTAATGAAACAAATATTTTGATTTTGGACTATGAAAAACATATATAAATGTCTTAACCATATGATATCTTGATAAAATACAATACCTTTGTTATTTAATATACATTATCTCTTATTTTTTTAAAAATCAATTGTATAATTGTCTCTAATTTTGTTTTATCAACTTCAACGACCTTAACTCAGTACAACATAATTAGATTCAAAAGGTAAAACTTACCCTCCAAGAAGTCATCCTTTTCTCAATGAGATTCATAATAAAGTGAAAAATAATTTCCTCTTGGACTCTTTAGCTGTGTACAATAAAAAAATATGTGATAAATTACCATTAAATCAAATTAATTATAGACAATTTATGAGATTTAAAACAACGTCGTTGTATTTCCTTTTCATATATGAGTGAGTTCAAATGTACAATCAAAAAATTATTATGTCTTTTTTTTTGTTCATATTTTGTTGTGGCTGAATTGATATTGTTTTGGTCTTCATCTAGAAATTCAGTCTTAAAATATTAATATATTTCTCGTACTTGAAGCTAGGAATTTTTTTCATATCAAAAGAAAATCTTGATTAGTATTCATTAATCTCGAGAAAACTTTTATAACTATTGGTTAATTTTTCATTCATATTTTGCCACCTCTAAATTGAAATCTTGACTCCGTCCACGTTCATATCATAATAGTCTTTGTTATTAGCAATGACAATTATAATCAATAACCTCAAACTTGTCAAACCCCACACACAAATTAGCAAGTTGGGTGTCTGATTTATTTTTGCACGATGTGAATGGGTTATAAAACATCAATAAGAATTTGGCGAGATAAAACAATTTGAACCACCACCTCCCCACCATCTTAAACACCACCCTCTCCACTATTGCAAATAACCCCCACCGTCGTACAACCACCACCCCTACTACCATCATTGTCTTTATTGATCTACTAAACTATCACCAACACAACCGCAACAACCACTCTCCCACCACTGTTACTATCGATGTTACCTTATCACATGTTATACCATTTTCTCCTATCACCACCAAAACCCTATAACCAACCTTAGCACCGTCATCATTATTTTTACAATCTTAACTTTCTTTACAACCACCCCTTCTTGTCATTACGACAAGCATATTTACTCTAATCTTCACTAGTAACACTTTCACATCGTCACCACCGTCGTTATCACCACCACCATCATCACTATGATGACAATGGTTGTGGGGCTACAATCATAATGGTGGGATAGTGATAGAAGTGGTGTGGTAGAAGCGGGTGGTGGCGTGGTGGTCGGGTGGTTAGGGTAGAACAATGTGGTGGCAATGAGGTGGTGGTTTTGTGATGGTGCTAGTGGGTGGCGGGGATGACAACAATTTTTGGATGTAAAGTGTGGTTGGAACGATGGTCGGGAGCAAGAGCAATTGAGAAGGTGGGGGTTGTTGTCGTCTTGATCCACCCATTATTTNGGTTGTTGTCGTCTTGATCCACCATTATTTACCCAACCAATCAATGTGACACTTCTACTTCTTGCTCACCAAACAATAAGGGATAAAAAAAAAAAAAGGAGAGAAAGAGAAAGATAATGGTCCCTTATTTCATGAAGTGGANGTTGTTGTCGTCTTGATCCACCCATTATTTACCCAACCAATCAATGTGACACTTCTACTTCTTGCTCACCAAACAATAAGGGATAAAAAAAAAAAAGGAGAGAAAGAGAAAGATAATGGTCCCTTATTTCATGAAGTGGAAAAAAGAGAAAATATTCATTAAGACATATATCGATCATCGTTTTGTTTCTTTTATCTTAAATGATCAGTGTAATACATTTTGAATTTAAATTTTCTTTGATATTTTTTATATTTTATTTTAAAAAATTGTTATTTAGACCTTATTTAGAAACATAATGAAATACAATTATTGGATTAGTTGTGGGCTCCATCTAACATTGAAACTCACAACTAATCCAATTGTTACATTAAAGTCATATCATTAGATCCTTAAATAAAGTTTTTAAATAAGGTCCCTATAGCATCAATAGTATATTTTATGTGTATTTTAGTGTACATATTAATACTAAACTCGCTTCTATACAATAAGTTNCTTTATATAAAATTTTCAAATAAGGTCCCTATAACATTAATAGTATATTTTATGTGTATTTTAGTGTACATATTAATACTAAACTCGCTTCTATNCCTTAAATAAAGTTTTTAAATAAGGTCCCTATAGCATCAATAGTATATTTTATGTGTATTTTAGTGTACATATTAATACTAAACTCGCTTCTATACAATAAGTTCTGATATTAAATCAAAACATTGAAAGAGATGTCCCTCCATAAATCATGTTGTGTCCGGTAAACTCTTAATTGAATTACACAATTATAGCAAAATAATAGATTGGGGTTCAGTTAAGTTATCCAAACTTAACGATGATGTCGTACAGCCATCCATCCAATACGGTGTGCTGTTCCACACCAAATCCCAATGTTCAATTGAAATTGAATTACTCTCACCGCCTGCGATGTACCATCCGTACCAACCTCCTCTTCTTCTCCAAAGCCAATCTTCGCCGGACTAAATCAGAAAAAATATGCAAAAATCAATCGAATCACTCTTCTTCACAACCAATTCTCAAAGCCATGAGTACTCCGGCACTTAGAAATATAAAATATTAATTTAGACCAAATTCTCATCGAACATCCAACCACTCTTTTTTTTTTTTTGGGTACAAAAGAAAAGTAAAAGGGGTTATCTAAACCCGTAACAAAAAGAAATGCAAGAAATATCATTCAAAAGTACTGTCCCAACACATGGGGTGGAATTTCAAAAAACACGTAAAGTTCTTGTTGTTGTCCTCTCAAACTTGACATTTTGTCAGCGCAAAAATTTTGTTCTCTTATTGTGTGAATAATGGAAGGATTAGTCAATCCCATTAAGAAAGGTCCTTGCACTCCAGAAGAAGAACTAGAGCTCATCAAACATATCCAAGTTACTCCTCTATCTCTCTATCTCTCTCTCTCTCTCTTTTGAGGATTCTTTTAACTTTTTTAGGTCTAAACAGATATGGGAAGAGCTGGAGACTGAGATGAACTGACTACTTGAGGTCTGATATCAAGAGAGGGAAGTTCAAGATGAAGAACAAACACTTCTGCATCTCTATTCCATCCGGCAACAACTAAATGATCTCCCCCTCTCTCTCGGAAGCATATGATTCTTTGTTGAAGTATAAATATTTAAATTATATTATTTCTAGCAATTTAAGCTTTCAAAGTTTGATGGTGATTTTATGTTTCTTCTCGAACCATATATATGGCTTGAAGATAAGGCAAAATTGACTTACTTCTTAAAGACCAATTTCAAACTTTTTTTACAACAAACATATACAAAAACTAGTTGCGGGTATTAAACTTATATCTACATCACACCCATATGCTTATTCATGAAAACAAAAGGTTTGGCCTCGTCTTTTGATATCCATGTACCATCCAGCCACACAATTTTACACAGTGGAACTTTTACAGAGTTTCCCAGACTATGTACTGACCTCCATGCAATTCCAAGCAAAGCTGAACGGCAAAAATATTCTCATTCTCATTCCCTGAGTGATAAATCCTTAGCAACTCACCAGTTCGAAGACCCTTTGTCAATGCAAAAGGGCGCCAGTCACGCGTCAGAGAGCGCCTTCCATCTGCCTGCACCGAGGCTATGAATTCATATGTGATTCCGTCTCGGTCAATTACACTCAT